ATGATTTGGTTATCATCGTTCGATTTAATCCGAGTGTGCGCCGTGCATTACGCTTCTACGCAGAGGTGGTGGAAAGGTGTAACTTCTAATTTTAGGTGATTTTTGTCCATGCAAGCTTATGTTTGCTTGCTTTGGAAGGTCGATACGCACGGATCCGTGGAACTTATTACCTAGTCATCTACCCCATTTACGAGTCCATGTTAACTATAACTGTAGCCAATTGATTAAATATTTTGTAGTCTTTCTTACTTCCTCTGCTGCTTCCCTTAAGCTCCATCAAAGCTAGCGATGACACTTTTGTGCTGTTTGGTGCTCACCGACCATGCGTTTACTACTCACCCCCTTCCCCAGCAGTTAAGTATGATCCCCTCCCCTATTGGTTTCACATTGCGATGCTGTACCCTGTGTGCAAGACGCGATTAGAGAAGGCTATGTTCAGAAAAGGAACTGAGAAGAAACTGGTGAGTTCGGCTACTGTTGAGCGCTCCCTGCTTCACTTGTTAGTATAATGGAATTTTCGAAATTCATCGCTGGAAGAATTTGGAAGTAGTTTCTGAAGGAGTGCAAAGAGTTTCCTCTGACTGTGATTGTTCACTCATGCTTTAATTCTCTCTTTTTATATAATTGTTTGCTCTGGCTAGTTTCTGTAGCCTGGTGTTCGTTTCCTGGATAGCTCAGGCATGGTATCCAATCACGTTCTCAGGAAAAGCCGAGTGAAGAATGGAGTACGATGTCCCATTCCTAAGGCAGCGTTCATACTAACTAGGGAAGAATGGTAGGTTGAAGCAGCTGTTTGAAATGAAATGTATGTCGTTTAAGGCGGCCTTGGAGGCTGGGTCGAATCCGTTTTCAATATCTGCTGTGAACCTCCCTGAGCAAAGTTACGGAGGGTTTTTTTTCAATGTCAAGCCTCGTAACACAGTAGTTATGAAGTCGGTGTCATGTCTGCGACGTCAACTGTTCGAATCCTTGATGCACGCAATCTTTTGCATTTAGCTGGTGAGCTTCTTCTTTTTTTGGAGAGATTTTCAAAGATGAGAAACGCGGGTGACATCCAGAGGTATAACAGACATGCAAATAAACGTGCTTCAAACAGCAGGGGTAATGAATCCCAAGCCCCAACTCGCCTGGGACATATACGATAGGACAACAGATCCGGAGGAGTCGTTCAACACCTTCCCTATATCGCCATGGACTGCAAGTCGGTACTTCTGATACTTTTTCAGAACATTTTCTTAACCAAATGGAATACCTCCACACAGAACAGGACAACTAAACCAATGCGGTTATGCCATTGTGTAAAATGATATGTTCAGGTTGGGTTTCACTGTACTCTCTTCATGAAACAATCATCTCACGTGTCACTTCACCTCAAGAAGTTATGAGGGATGGTATTTTCTGTCGATTAAGAATTGAGACCCCCCCCCTTCGGAAGATATTTCTGCAACCGAATCTTCTTTACGAAAAAAAATGTGCGAAATGCCTGAATCATTACCGCCTCTTAAATCATACTTCGGGGGGGGGGCACAGTTGAGGAGTAGAAGCTAAACTGTGTATATATAAGTCCTTTTGGGACCATTCTAATCCGTCGCCATCGAAATCGTGACCCTTGCCGACTGATCGCCTATCGCGTGATTGATAAGGATCTCATGGGAGCCATCGCACTCACCACAAATATGGAAACGTAAAATATGTAGGAATGCAGGAAAAGATGTTGATGTTTAACGTTTACTCGAATATTTTCGTTGGACATGCTGAACTGCCCTCTATTTCACCGTCAGGTGACTCCTTCACATTATTTCATTCCGTTTCTGATATAGGTCTCTGGAGGGCGAGATAATTTGAAAGAACAGGTCTCTCATTGCCGCGATTTTTCAAAGAGCGCCTAACTGCTAACCAGCAACGCTCTTAGCCTGTTCACTAGATAGAAACCCGTTTCGCTAGCCAAAAGAAGCATCGGGCAACATTCACCCTTCCCAAGCTTATAGTTCACTTCGACTTTTGATCGGAATTCTCCCACGAGAGCAGATTTAGCTACGGAAGCTGTTGAAGAGTTATTCGATTTCTAAACGGGAGTTCATTACATATCACGTCCAGAGACGCCGGCAGCAGAGGTGGCGGCTGTAAAACACCACAGGACGCAAAATTCACTAAAACTTGCCCCAAGAAGTAGTTTCACCTTCTAAACAGTAATTCATTTGCTTGGCCCGGAAAGGCCTAGCTCGTGTGCTGGCGCCAAAACTAGTCTACTCGCCGACGTCTGTAGCGTGGCCGCTGAATTCGGGAGGTGAGGGTACCCGAGGCCGAGAGAGTTGAATGAATGAATCTCCTTCAGGGAGAAATTCTGATCGCAGTTCGGCCCGGGTTTTCAAGCGAAGTCGGCACTATTGAACTATTCTTACCCCAAAAAAAACTCGCGAAAAACTTTTTTGACTGAAACGTTGCCTATAGATGTAATTCGATGCGCTGATCACGAATATCACATCCGTTTCGAGCGCTGGCGTCATTTGGCGCCATTATGCGCCAATTTGGCGCCCACCACTTTTTTCACCAAAGTTGATGAAAACTTGCATATGGGGCACTATGGCGCCGAATTGGCGCGTAATGGCGTCAGATGGCGCCAACGCAAAAAAGATGAATGTCAGATTCGTAATCAGGACCTCAAGTAACCCACACATGCAGATTTTCATCGACTTCTGTGAAAAAAGTTGTGGGCGCCAAATCGCCAGATGACTCCAGCGCTTAAAACGAATGTGAAATCCGTGATCAGTACGTCGAATTACACCTATAGGCAATTCAGTGAAAAAATTTTTTTTCTTCAGGTTTTGGGGTAGGAATAGTTCAATAGTGCCGTGGAGTCAGTAAAGTGTAAGAGGAGCTAAGAGTAACATGAGGAAAAAAGGAAATCCATGACTCAAATGTGAAGAAATCCAGAATCAAATGTCTTCTGCTCTTGCATAGTCTACGGAACTAGGTCTCCACCGTGCGGGTGGTGCGGGTATTGAGAACAGTCTGGCGACAATTCTTGCTCTGGTTGAAGCGGTGGAAAGTTACGGGAGGCGCTGGGAAAAATTTTAGACATGATGTGGGGATGACGGCAATGTTTCATATCAAGAGTAAAAAAACGTTGCGTGGCGTTTCGGCGGCATTTGATTCAAAATTTTCAAAGCGGCCAAGACGTGGAGGACGAGCATACCTACATATGAGGTCCGCTTTACAAAGCGCTCACTGGCGGATCATCCAAATGGCTGATTGGCAGCTAATGGAAAGTCGATACGTTAATGCCAAATTGGCCAGGAAAACGTTTGGCAGTAAGAGGACTAGGGACGTGAAATGAACCCATTATTTCTATTCTGTTCGAAGTGGCTTTGCCCTAGTGAAAATTATTGAGAATTGAAGAAAATTGTGATGGCACATACAAAACTAGTGCTCTCTGGTGGCACCATACGCTCTCGCACCTCCTTCTCGATATGTGCCTTTCATGAAAGACCACTGGTTGGAACTAGCACTGTACACCATCCTGTAAACAAATTCGCTCGCGGAAGGAGGATATTTGCTATAGGTTTCAAATGCGAAAGAGAAAAATCTCTTCTGTAGAGATCGCCGACAGTAATCCACCTAATGCGACGGCCATTCTTCTCTTCTCTCTTTATACCGTCTTCATCAACACAGCACTTCGGCCATGGCACTATTGGATATCCCTATATCGCTTAACGCTGCACGTAAAGATGGACGCGACGCCTCCCGACCCATTATTCCAAGGACAATGCCCTCCTTTCTATCGACATATATAAAGGGCCATTCTCCATGCCATTCATACCTGCTTCGCTATGGAGGCAAGGGAGGACAACAAGCGGTATGTTTTCTTTATAAATTCATTTGTGGATGCATTATTCCGTGGTGATGATTGCTGTGATTGTAAATTTAGTCTGGAAGAAATTAGGCTGGTAGGGGAGGGGGGGCGTTCCACTTACAAACCGGGACTGGAGCGCAAAGTTCCACTAAAAAAAGAAGATTAAGACGCGAACAAACGGCTACGGCTGCGCCTGGGTACTACGTATCCATGAGATTTCAATGAAAACTTTTTATGCATTTCACTACAAATGCGACTGTAGAAATGTTTTTATCACTTTGGCTCGCCAATTTTACAGTGGCAGTATCTCCAGCGTCCTTATCCATCACTAACCAGGAAAGTCCGCCAACTTTCCGTGGAAACTGGAACAAATAATCACGGAGTCTGGGGCCAGTCCGATAGAGTCTATAAGTTATTTACAAATATAGAAAGCAAAACTCCAACCTGCTTTTCACAAGCAACTTATGAGCAGGTAAATTTTGTACTGGTGGGTAGTCCGATAGAGTCTATAAGTTATTTACAAATATAGAAAGCAAAACTCCAACCTGCTTTTCACAAGAAACTTATGAGCAGGTAAATTTTGTGCTGGTGCAGTAAGGTGGATTCTTGGTGGCGCTTCACAGCTCACCACCAAGACTCCACCCTACTGCACCATTAAAGATTCGACCTGCCCTCATCAAGTATGCTGTTGTGAAATGCAGGTTCGCAGTTTTTGCATAATCTATATTTGATAAAATAACCTGTATGGACTCTATTCGGTCCTGCCAGCGGCTCAATACGAAGTTCCAATGGTAAGTGCCGGACTTCTCTGAGTAAGAGGGAATTCTACCAGTTTGACGCCAACACACTTTTCACACAGCGAGCTGCGTCGTTCGCCGTTGATCCAAGAAAGCCTCACTACTATAATAAACCATCTAGAAAAAAAAATTTGTTTAGCATTGCGGCTCCATCGCACTTTCCGTCGCGGTATCGCTTGTCTCCACGGCGGCAGTAATCGCGTCAGCTGATTACCACTCCTTGCCTGATACAGCCTACGTCCAGAGCCCCCAAGCGCAGTGTCAACTCTGAAGACTGAATTCTGTCGCGCCGTAAGCTTGAAAATAGCCATTTTCAAAACTGCCGTACAGCATACTATGAGACTTTTCAGATGCGCTCCCGTGACATGCTCGTCAGCATGTACCAAATGGCCCCCAAAGGTCGTGCTAAGAGAGGATGGCTGTTCGGACAGTGGGTGCCTGATGGTGGCTGGTGCCGGTGGCTGGCGCTCGATATGCGTGGCCCACAAAGTAGGTGCAGGGCGTCTGGATTAAAGCGATTATTGACAAAACTTAGGAAGACTTCTGTAGCCACAGTAAGATAAAATTGAAATTAACGATCCTACTTTCAGGCCACGGTTACGCACCAGCTCCTCCACCAAGCAACGGATACGGCCCCGTTGTCAATGCCGAACCTGAGCCACAGTGCTGCACCTGCCAGCAAGGTACGAAATAGGTTTGCTTATTCTAACAGCGAACCTTCACATGGCTTGCTTAGAAACAGCAGTACCATTCATTTCATCTCTTCTACTAGGACCTGCCGAGCCCCTGACTCCTTGGAGATGACGAGAAAAGATGCGCCGTAGACGGCGAGTCAGAGGAAAGGACGGCAACGAAGGACGTGTCATCGGTGGTATTCGAGCCCCGATGGACTTCAGTCAGAGCCATGCGTCATTTGCCCACCTGGACCACCTGGACCACAGGAAATGCTGGAGCCAAGGGACCTCAAGGACCACGAGGAACTCCTGGACTTTCTGGAGTTGATGGACGTCGTGGAGAGCCCGGCATGGTCGGACCAGCTGCGACCGGCGCGACGGAGCCCGGCTACACCAGGACTAAAACGGAAAAGAAGTGGAGCAGAAAGAACGGACATGGTCATTCATAAGTCACAACGGTTTCTGTCCACCAGGACCAGCCTGCGACCCCTGTGTCTAAGGGCGCAAGAGAGAACGCGGACTAAGGGACGTATTGGAGGCGTCCATTTCCTGGACCTCAGCGACCACCTGGCGACCGGAAAGAAGATCGGCAGCGATTCGCTGGACGCGAAGGTGAGGGAGAACGTTCGGACCGGCTGGACTCGGCATCGAAAGGGACCCGATGGAGACCTGCTTCACTGCCCGCACACGGCACTACACCTGGCTGATCGTGTAGCGTTGAGCTGGAAACGGAGTAGGCATCATCAGCCGTGTTATATTATAGTTGGTTGTCGCAATAAATTCGCTTAGCACTAACATAACGGTCCTTGTTGCACTTTCAGTGTCACATAAAACGGAAAAAGCGCACACACAATGTCTCCGCTGGCTGTGCGAGCACCACTAAGCTTCAAGCCGAGCTCTATAGAAGCTTCACAATATAAGCTTGCAAGGCGTAATTCAGCAATTCTATATTTCCTAAATAATTCACATATGCTCAAAAGTGCTCTGAGAAAAAGGCGAAAGAATAAGCGGAGTGCACCAAAATCTCCCCTTCCCACACTTTCCACCGATTTTCCCTTCACAGACCAGAAGAAACGATCTTCTTCATGGTGACAGCGAACAGCTTATCGATACCAACGCATGCTCGACCTAATCAAGATACCAGTTTGCGAACTTGAATCCGATCCAGAAGCGTTTCGAGCGCCATGTCACGCATGTTAAAGAATTAGTTTAGGAACCCATTTTTGAACTTCGTAACGATGATCATATCATTATCATTATCATGGGAGAACGTATCCCATAAAAGGTGAAATATCGCATTTTTCTGCCACACTCGTTATTACATCCTGTTTTGGTAAAAAATTCAAAAGAGTACCGTAGTTATTGGAGCATCCAGCAAATTTCGAGCGATAATTCAACACTACTATTGCCAATTGCCGGGATTCCTCATAGAATATCTTTCTTTATTGTCATGGCTATGACAGTTCAATAGGAGCGGATCCCGCTGTATATCAAGACACCAAGTCAAACGCTAGCCAGACTTCTTCATGGTAACTCTGCAGGAAAGCAAGAGTGGCTTTACGTCCTGAGCGAGGAGGGTTCATCGCAGTAATCCGGACTGCAGTAGGGAAACGTCGCTAGCGTTTGTCTGAAAATCCAGTTATCAGCAAGACGACAAGTGAAGGGTGATAGTGAAGCAAATGTAATTTTCATAGACAGTCGAGGCCTGTCCAAGAGCACAATTATCGCCAAATTAAAATAGCCTGGGAGAATGAACTTTTTTGTCGAGTTTTGAGAATAGGTTTCCTCTCGATGAGAAGAGCTGCACAAGTCCTTTCCAGAAACTAGGCGCAAAATCGCGCCAAAAAATCGTTAGCTTCCACTGGTAAGAATGAATATTTCTGAAAGAGGTCTGAGTAGTGTCTCGGAATCGAAGTTCCGGTTTTACAAACGAGAATGCCCCGCGATCATCAAAGGCTGTCAACGAATCGACGAGATGATTTTGCCCACTTAGATGTCAACTTCAGCAAGGGTGCGGAGAGAAGTTTGGATATGACCACCCGCTATGACGAGTCGGGAATCAGTTGTCAAATGCGAATTTAAGCCTCGAAAGGGCGAATGCTGGCGTGAAGGCGCCTCTCCGTTACCTCAGAACCGAAGCCTGATGTAATTTACTTGAGACCCGGGCGATTCTATCGTCGGCAAGTCAGGTCACGTCGCGCACATCGCGTCGCGGCGTCTCGCGCGGCGGCGCGGTGCGACAATTCCGGAGTTGCATTACCGACATACAAATGAGTCTCGAAGACCGCGTATTCACAAGTTCCGAAAAGCCCAAAATTGGATCAGTAATTTTGAACAAATAACGTGGGACCAGTCTTACACCCTTTACTTTTGAATGCGGAAAAAACAATCATTGATCATCATAGGAAAATGGCAGTTTTGCAGTACAGGGCATTAACATAAACAATATGGCTTGATGATCATTTTAACAATTTGAACGAGCACGACGCAGCAGGACTCGTACGCGGCGCCCACCAGCGCGGCGACCTACTTAGCAGACGATAGAATCGCCCACACACCCAATTTACTTGCTTCAGCTGCCCAAGGTAGCCGAAAACACTGGCTCATATGATCTCACAACAGGATAAAATTGCTTGCCACTGCACAATAGCTTCGCTATTGCAGATATGTTTAAGCGAATATTTCCTCTTACCACCGACTCTCCCGAAAATAATGATGACCTAGAGAGGATTCCGAGCGCGGACGAGCTTCTTGACCTAGGAGGAAAGCTCGAGCGACAGTAACGAGCAGCCAAAAACTGCCCACACTTTTCTGCTTGTACATTTGAAGCCTAAGGTGGTCGAGATGCGAATAGTGTTCGGCTAACTAATACTTAAAGGAGGATACGGCGAGGGTCACCTGCTTGACGCCTGACGAAACGTTCTATGCCATTATTTTTGCGACAATGTAGGCCTTTCGGTATTTTAGCCTCTTCTACTGTAGAGTTTGCTAAGAGTATCCGACGGACTGCTGTTTAAGCCTACAGAAACGCTGCAACTAAGACGAAATACTGATAGTATGAAATTCAATAAAGATGAGCACAACCTGACAGTTCATGGCTATGGACCTCACAGATCAGACAGCCGCTACATATTTTGACCATACTGGTTTACTTCTACTTCAGCCGATCATCCGGGCTAATTGGGGGACGCTTTTACAAGCTACCCAGTGCAAAACAGACTATTGCAAACTGGTTTATGGTGAGCCATCAGTAAAAGTCCGCCACTGCGCCACTGAGCATTATTCCTGTGGAGCGAAGTCTTCATCTTCGAGCAAAATAGCGTCCTTTGAAAAAACAACTGAATTGCTCGTATTTGGCTTTTTATTAATTTTTATTCTCTATTGTGCCACCAGCTAAGTGAGTCTCTTTCCTTTTTTTCAAGCCATGCGTCTCATCCCTGGGTGCATAGCTAAATTAAATAAACGAATAAACTCCATTCACACATAGCTTTTTGAAAGAGGGCAGTGACAAATATATAAAACTACAAGATCGCTTCTTAATTTTTAACGGATTTATTTACAGAACTGGAAAGCGTATAGTGTAAGCGGTGTTCTCACTAAAGTGGGTCTTTCACACAACCTATTTAATAGCTCCGCCTCTACCCTCTATCCTCAACTGACTCACCTTGTCGCAACTCTCCTGACTACCGACTCCCGAATACTGTCTACGCCCCCCCCCCCCCTTTGCACAAGGTCCAAATACGATCCTTCCGTTGAGGATTCCTCGAATTTATTGCGAAATAAAATGTATGGAATTTCCGCCAAGGGAATAATGAGAACTGCTCTACTGATAATCGCGCAATACTTTCAAGTTGATGAAAATGAAAACTAGTTTAAAAGTAGCGTTTAGATCTGCTCGAATGTGACGCTGAAAATGGAAATAAAGTCGAAGCAACCAATCTCTAGTACAAATTATGCACCGTCCTCCCCACCCGGAACTCGAGCTATTCAATGCATAAGAGGATCGAGAAGGAATGGTGCGACTTGCAGGTGATGGAATCCAGCACTTGTGTCTGTAACACCTCCTGGTAACCTTGATAACGAACATTTCGCAGCTTATTGTTCACTTTCACTAGTACGCGATGATCGGGCGCAGCCACTCTTGCTTTCCGGGATGTTGTGTGGAGGCGGGTGTGAGAATGGTCGGCGATACCCAGTTATTCTCGATCTCACTTATTCTGGTCATCACAGGAGTATAAAAGACCGTACTAGACGACTGTGGATCGTCATCGCCGCACGATGGAACAGAAGGAGACCGAGGAGCAGCTCCAGATGCGCCGCGTCGCGTTTTTCGCGGTCGTCATCTCCACCGCGGCCGTAATCGCTAGTGTTGTCACACTGCCCATGCTCTACAGCTATGTCCAATCGTTCCAAAGTCACCTCATCGTCGAAACGGAGTACTGCAAGGTAATGCTTCTTTAGCTTCTTTCAGAAATATTTTTTTTTATTTGCGAATCAGTTACAGTCAAAAGATTACGTATGTCTGGAGTGTCACTCAGCAGCTGTTTCAT